TACCAACATGCGATAACTCAAGCCATCCCTAATCCATCACCAACTGCCCAGAAACGCTCCGCTTCTGCTCGTTCACCGTCTCCCACGGGCCACATCAACAAATCCCGGCGAACGGATCTATTACCCACTGGTCCTCGTGCTATGCAAAGGGATGGAAATCCACTTGGTGGTTCACGGAGTCTTCTAGAGCGCATGGGGCCTTCAAGAAATGGACATCCGCATCCGCCGTACGCAAAGGACGATATACAAGCTCGTATAGACAACATCACAGGGTCCCCGGCACCGGATATGGGTATGATGATGGGTCCGGGAGGATTCCCTATGAATGGCGTCCCGGGCATGGATATGAATGCGATGGCAATGGCAAATCCGCTGATGCTACAGGATATGCTAATGAACCAGATGGCGTTGATGTCCCAGATGGCAGGAGCAATCGGCATGATGAACTCCGGAATGAACGTACCTGGTCCCTATCCTATGCAGCAGCAAGGCATGGGCGGAGAGATGGGTATGAACGGTGGGACAAATGGGATGGACGGCGCAGGAGGGCGAGGAAGAGGTAGAGGGCGGGGTGGTTCAAGAGGCATGGGGCGTGGCAGAGGGGGTCATACGCCAGCAACCGGGGATGCTCAAGGCGCTACGCAACCTACACCGACATTAATCCAGGCCCCCTCCGTTGTTGCCCCAACACCTATGGCTGCCTCCTCACCCTTCCCCAACATGGCATCACCCCAGATCACTCCTTCTAACTCTCAAGGACGTCAGGCCTTTGTGCCCCCTGACCGACCGCTGTCTCCCACTCTTTGCAAATTCGGGTTGAAGTGTACGAACGCCGTATGTAGGTGGTCACATCCTTCCCCGGTTGCCACGCCAGAGAGTGGTGTCGTTCTAAGCAACGAGCCTTGCGAAAATGGGAAAAACTGCAAGGATAAAGACTGTGTAAAAGCACATGTCAGTCCTGCTGCCTTGAAACCTATCTGTGAGCTATTACAATCTTTTTTGCCGCTTTCAGCCATATCTGACTATATGCTATGCAGCTGAACAGCTCAATCCCAAAGCGCCTGCATTCACACCCGGCGTACCTCATACCTCTCATGCTCATTCGTATTCCGCGCAATCGCAAGTGCCTTGTCGATTTGGGGCAGCCTGTATACGCCCAGGTTGCACATTCTTTCATCCGTCCCGACAAAATAACACACCCTGCCGTTTCGGTACTGCTTGTACGCGAGCAAATTGTACATTCCAACACCCAGAGGGTCGTGTCCTACCATCCACTTTCCACCGCGGGTTAGCCCCAACGGGAGGCATGGTCAGTGTACAAACACCAGAAGCTGGTTCTATGGGTGCGCCAAGTCCGCATAGGAGCGTTACATTCAACAAGAGTACACCTCCGCCGAGTGCTGCGGAGTTGGAGAAGAGGATGAAAGAGGTTGAGGAGAAGAGGATTCTGGCGAAGGCCGCAGTTGCAGAGGCTCAGGCTGCTGCAGCGGGCAAGAAGGACGACGCCTCCAGACCTACTTCGGCTGCGGCTGCATAGCTTCTCTCCTCGATATTATCGGCTTTCGGATCCCCTCGTCCCCGTATTATTATGAGGGAAAAGGCCCACTGTCAATACGCAAAATGCGGACCAGTGTTTTTAGATATCGATCATTATCACCGTTGTAGTATTATACTTAAGTGTGCTTGACCTAACTACTGTCTTGTTCTCACGTAGTACTGATTCGTGGTGGCTCGTAGCTTAGCAGGGACTGCGGGTGCTTGGCGAATAAATTGGCGAAGGAGTGGGTACCCGTGAAAAAAAAACTATGCGGGTTACCCTGGGTTTTCACCCTCTTCTAGTATGTCGTGCTTGTCCATTGCGTTTGAGCAGGGTTGTCGATTATGAGAATGTGAGATCATCAAGACTATGAGGAATCGCAAGCGCATATATGCGCCGCTTCGATCCCTGCTCTTTACAACTTGAATTTGTGCCCCCATCACAACTTGGTTCCCAAACTTTCGACCCCAAAGATATCAAGTCCTTCAGTGAGTAAATTCATATGGTCAATGATCCAGAACAGCCTTTACTAAAACGACAATTGCGATGTCTCGCAGCAAACGCCATTTACCGTGACTGTCTGGCAGGATATGGATCCCAGCATACTCCTCCGGGTGCGCTAAATATCATGGCCCACCTACATGCTGTCTGTTCTCATGCGTTTTGTATAGCGTTCCTCTATTATTGCGCTTCCATCATCATCGCGAGATCTCTTGAACTTTCGAATGGATTGAACAGGCTCAGAGGGTGAACTATTTTTCAAATTTCCGCGTGAGTGCAATGCTTTATTATAAGCCGAATTCAGGGGGTACCTACCTTCCAGACATGTCTGAACGGGAAGCATTCGCAATGGGCGGGTTTGGTATCCGTATGTTTGCGTTCGATCGCTTGGGAATTTCCTTCGACCTCTCATCCTGACTATCTGAATCCGAGCTTGCATCAGAGTCACCAAAAAATGCACGCTGCTTTCCTTTGTCCTTTCGAGGTGTTACTGCAGAAACCTGTCCCGGCTTCGCCCAAGTCCCTTTCTGGAGCCTCTCATCCCCCTTCAGCTTGGTGAAGTAGTGTCTTTCCAGCAAAACTCTCGTGCGCCTGATGTCTTCCAGGCCCACGTTAACGAGGCCCAACCTCCTCTGAGCTATCTGTGTCATCATAGCCGCCTCCTTCATTTCATTCTTAATGAAAACCGTTTCTTCCGCCAACTCCGTAAACTCTCTCAATAGACTGCCTATATCCTTCTTGGAGATACCTCCGAACCTCGTTTCATCGACCGGGACGGCCTTGTTTGCGGTGTTATTTGGAATTTTCCCGCTGGAAAAGACATCTTCAAGCGTAGAGCCGCCTCTACCTTCGAGTATTTGTGGTTCATCCCCTGCCACATCGCGATTTGCCGTCTTATTGTGCGGCTCGAGTACATTCGGTGATGATGGAGGCTCAACTTCCAAGCTACCCCCGTCTGGCGATTCGACAGCGATATTATGGAAGCTTCGCTGTGTGCGACGTGTGGTTGAGGGCAGATTCTGTTTGGCATGCTGGGCTCGCGGGTCCCAAGGTAAAAGCGCGGTCACCTTCTTTTCCATGCCACCCTCCTTCCCAACATTTGCTGCACTGGCCGCCCAGTTGATCGAAGCCTTTATGAATGCGTCCGCTTGAGATTCTGGGCTCTGTCCGGGAGTATCCACCAGGGAGGGGCCCGCAGGTTCTTGGGCGAGCCTTTGTCCGGCATGAAGCCCCGGGGGATCTTCTTTGCTCTCTGTCTCTGTATCCACAGTGATGAGGAAACCTATTGGTTCAACGGGTGGAGGGGACGCACCCCGGGATTCAGCTCGTTTATCCGTCGACTTTCTCTGCACTTGTCGGTCATTTTGCTTTGCGTCTAGACCCAGAACCATCAAGTACTTCATCTTTTCTTATTTATAAAGAAGATGCCTCACTTTCGATATTCCTGATGACCGATGCACTCAGGTTATCTGGAATGCGGGTGAGTACATTTCACCCGTTCTATCACATATGGCTTACCAGAATCCTCGATGAATGCAAGCTCCTTTTGAGTAACTTGCACTCCCATCTTCGTTGGCCCACCTCCATAGCAGTGTTCGTTAGGACGGGGGGACATTTGATTACAATGTTCATGAGCTCACCTTTTGCCTCGTTCAGCTCCTCTCCTACGCGTTCAATGTCCACTGGTAACCAAGGTTGGGATCAACGCATGCATGGCAGTAGGTGACACACCTGTTTCCGCAACTACATCCTTGGTTTCACTTTCTCGTTGTCTTGACGTAACCCCAAGCTTCCCGATCCCTTTGTCTACAAGTCTGTCAACACAAGATTATCAATGGGTATAGCATGTATATGAAACATCCAGGACTGAATCATACCTGGTTGCACTACCGACGTCGTTGCGGATTGTCTCGGATGAGGTCGATTCCTCTGTAGAATGTATTAGTACGTCTCATGATTATACCTCATACACACTTACCAGAGGTTCTGGTGTCCACAGGCCTTGCCCTCGTGGCCTGCGTTGTTATTGCTCTCGTTGCTCTTCCTTTCCGGCCAGCTAAAGTCAATGTGTATATCAGCGCTGACAGAAACTCAATCCCAACAAAGAAGCCCACCTATTGGCTCTTTCACTTTTGGTGGTGCCTTCTCCCCATCTTCCAACCTCTCTTCTTCCGGGACTACGTCTTTCGCTTCGTTGTCTCGCTTCACGGATGCAGCTCCAGGCTGCAATCCTGATTCCTCCACAAGTCTATTCGCCACAGGGGTCGTAAACGGATAAGATTATGGACGTATATCATTAGTGGGCAGTATACCTCGGCACCCCTTCTGGATATTTATCCAGCAGCTGAGCTATTATAGCAGCTGTTTTTCCATTAGCTTTTAGACCTGCTTGCTGTGTTTAGAAGAATATCGATTAAAACATCGCAAGGTGTAGCGTGCATCAAGTATTGTTATCACGTACCTTGGCGAGTTTTTGCAGAGTAGCTCGAGGAACTTCGCCTAGGGTGGTAGCATCCATCTCGGTGCAGCGATGGTGTTTGAGACGAAGTGCGCGAATGTGAGAGCTTTCATGCTATGGCCTGCCTTTGTTCTATACACCAGGTGCCACTCAGCAGCCACGCTCTAATACTAGCGCTAGGAGCACTACAATTGAGTCGGATAAATTGTCCTTAGCCTCACAAATTTTGCAGGCGGCCTATGATTTTGACCTGTTGAACACTTTTAGATTCCCGAGCCTATACTTAATCAGAGTGGGATCCCCTGCTCGATGAATATCTCAGCAATCTGGTGTAATAAATATTGGCCAAGGCTGCTTTTGACTAAAAACTTGCATGGAAACTCTGGGCGTCTCCAACTAAGTTCGGGATGCGCAAAATCAAATCTCCACGGGCCACTCAGCACTACAGTCTACTCACTCTGGACTCTGTGGAGCATCCAAGGGTCAATTGGTTGACAAAAATGTTGACAAGAGTGGGATTCGAACCCACGCGGTTATTCACCATGAGAAACCAACTGTCGCTGGCAAGCTTTCGCTTGAGTCACACGCCTTAGACCACTCGGCCATCTTGCCTACATACAGAGGACAGTTACTATGTACATGATGCTACACATAACCGCTACGGCTAAACTGGCCAATTTCGACACTTAAGTTGCGGACGCCGTCAACATGATGATGTTCAGAGAGTACATTGACTGCATGAGGGCTATCCATCATACATGAAGATTGATTCCTACCAAGATTTGTCAACGGACACAGCAGGCCGTCTGTGCCACTCGGAGTTGGTTGTGCGGCCATGGACCGTTTGTGCCTGTTGTGGCCTCTCTTTGTGTAACTCGTTTTGTTGTACATTGGAAACAACAAGCCAACCTCACGCCAACTGACCCTGACCATCAGCTACTCAAAATATTCGACCTTGAGCCAATGGACTCCTCTATGCTGAAAGAACTGAAATATCCTGACCTACAGAGGCTCGCCAAGGTGAGTACTTTCATAATGTAGTATGTCAGGCTATCACTCATGCATTGTTTATGTATCCTTTAGCGGAACAACATTCCTGCAAATCTAAAGCGGGATGTTCTGGTCGAGCGACTGAGTAAGGTCATTGAACCAGGGATTCCGTACGTGATGAAATCCATCATGTAGGCTGTACCCTGCCTTTGTCTGAATCATGTGTATTATATCCAGTCTCCCTGCTCGTGAAGTCAAACCTCTCAAGTCTCAACGAAGCCTCGCTCCAGAGCCTTCGGCGTCCCTGGTGAATGCCATCCGGGCACAGGAGATTCCTACGCCTTCAACGCCACCGTCGGGCAAGGCGGGTCTACAGGCTGCCTGTACCATTTCAAGAGCAGTTGGCGATTCTATATCAGAGAAAAATACCCCTCTACCTTGTACGCCGGATTCGACTGGTTCGATAATGGCCTCGAATGACTTCAGCCCAGGCCCCGATACCACTGCAGTCAAAAAAATATTAACAGGTGAGAGTCAGTAGCATGGACGGGGGTCATATCGCGCTGAAAACTCAAAGCACGCACTACCTCGCTAGACCCTGCACGTGAGAAGCATTGTGACAGTTCGATGCCTCAAATTTCAATCACCGAAGACGCCTCTCAGATAGAGGTTACTCCACATACGCCCCCCAAAGCACCAATGCCATGCGGAATAAATGAAAGTTCTCCTCGACGAAGTCCTATGCTTCCGGAATGTGCCAAGGCAGCACGGACACAAGCGCATCCAGCAGTTCACGCTGACTTTCTTGGCCGTGGGCCTGGCTTGGATACCCAAGCAATATCTGAACAACCCCCGACAGTAGTGACTTCCGTGGCCTCTACTTCCAAAGATGGGACAGACGATTCCGACTCCGACAGCGATGGCTACGCCAGTCCCGATGACGGACCATCAGAGCCTGCAGACGAATCAGAAGTCGAAAGAGCAGTCAAAATCATGGCATCCCTCTCAGGAGTCTTCTCAAGCCACTGTTCGGAACTCAAGGGCTTGCGAAAACAAGCTAGATTGACTGGCAGGGAAGTCAAGATGCGTCGCAGGGAAATCCTCCAGGAGAAGGCAAATATTGTGCGCATGACGAACTTTGCGACTTACTACCGTCCGGTGGAGCCGACGTGGAAGTTCGAGGATATGTGGGGGTATCCGATTATGATGAAGAATATCGACGGACAGTGGGAAGAGGTTGATTCTGATGAGTGGGAAAACAACGAGGACGATGGCGAAGCTGAAGAGTAAGTGGGTATGGTTTCATTGTCAGCTACGCCATTGACCGTACATTTACACAGCCGTCCAGACAGCGACACTTCTAAAGCAGAACAGCAGTACGTACCGTATATCCGTGGTATAGACCCTCGTTGACATGATCCTACAGAACCCAGAATGAGCCTCGGACACCCCCTGCTCCTAAGGGTCCTCCTAATGGGAAGAGGGGACGCGACACCTCTAAAGCAGAGCCGAAGTACGTACTGTAAATATGTCCATTGTATAGACAGTCGCTGACATGAACCTACAGAACCCAGGACGAGCCTCGGACACCCCCTGCTCCTAAGGGTCCTCCTAATGAGAAGAGGGGGCGCGACACCTCTAAAGCAGAGCCGAAGTACGTACCGTAAATATGTGGTATAGACACTCGCTGACATGAACCTACAGAGCCCAAGACGAGCCTCGGACACCCCCTGCTCCTAAGGGTCCTCCTAATGGGAAGAGGGGGCGTGACACCTCTAAAGCAGAGCCAAAGTACGTACCGTAAATATGTGCGTGGTATAGACAGTCGCTGACATGAACCTACAGGACCCAGGAAGAGCCTCATACAACCCCTGCCCCTAAAGGTTACCTTACTAGGAAGAGGGGGCATGAGTCGAGCAACCCTGAAGAGCCTAACGCAAGTCCGAAGCGAAGACGTGTCGCTGAAAATCGTGAAGCTACCGTATCACCTACCAGCGGCCCAGTGCGGAAAGAGATCGAAGTGGCACAGTCGACTGATAACGATGTCAGCGAGGATGAGGACGAATACGAGGATTCCATGAACGTTGAAGAGATGCTCAGTTTTGATGCTTCTGATGCCGAGGACGAAGACCACGAAGACAGGGAACAGAATCCCTTCTTGCTTCCCGAACTCACCGCCGGAACCTTGCTATTAATGCCCCCTGGCAAGGCTCAGACCGCCGTCATCTAGATATTCATCGACGTTGTCTCAATTCCCTCTCCGCGGAAATTCACATCTCAATGTCATGTTCCGAGTTAAGAGTACAAACGATCTATGCTATATACTATTACTTTTGCAAAAGATTCGGCCTAGATATGGATTGAATTTTCCAAGCCCTTCACGCCCTCTTCCCAACAAACTCCCGCCAAGAGCGGACCTCTGGGGGGATCCGCCCTTCAGTGTATGGTCGTAATCCACCTTGGGGTATCTTCTTCGCAAGGCTCTCGACAAACAGTTGAGCGCAACGAGCGTTGTTGAGCAGTGGCAGGCCAAAGTCGACGGCATTTCTATAAGAGGGGGATTGGTAAGAATGTAAGAAACAATATGTAAAGTAGACGAACCGTCGAGCAACATAATCCTCATCCACGGCATCTTTTCCTCGGGATTTCGCCAGGTTCACCACGCATTCAATCTCATATTCGTCGAAAACTTCGCGTAACTTGCGCTTGTCACGAGTGGGGAAGAAAATCCGCTTCGCTGAAACATATGGGATATCGTTGAGGAACTGTTCAACCACTGGCGAAGAGCAGTATAGCTTGAAGCCCAGGTCAATCAAGCCCTTAGCAACGGTCTTCATCTCGGGTTTTGTGATATCACCGCCCATAAGGACTCCACTGTTAAGCCGAGGAACCTTAAAGCCTGTAGTGCTTAAAAGTGCAGCCCAGTAGGCCTCGTGGATGTCTTTGCCAAAGCTAGCGACTTCGCCGGTACTAGCCATCTCTGTACATAAGACATATGTCAGAAAAAATCAAGTTGGACGATTGATAGAAGTATGAGGACATACCGACGCCGAGGAAGGGGTCTGCACCACCCAACCGAGTCCAGGAGAATTGAGCTACTTTAACAGCTGTGTAGTCTCGTTTCTCGGCCATAGGGTCGACTGGCTCAGGAACATTGTGTCCAGAAATAGCCGCAGCTGCGTAGTCAATGAAGTTGTAACCAAGCACCTTGGAGACGAAAGGGAACGACCGAGATGCACGGAGGTTACATTCGATGACCTTCAGCTCTGCCTCTTTGTCGTCCTCCGCTGGCTTCCTGATCACCTGCATATTGTAAGGACCGGAGATCTCAAACGCCGCTGCGACCTTCTCTGCGATTTCCTTCAAGCGAACCATGTCCTCGTTGCCTAGGGAGACAGGTGGAAGGACAAGGGTTGCATCGCCAGAGTGGACGCCTGCCGGTTCGACGTGTTCGGAGATAGCGTGGATGAGGAGCTTGCCCTTGTAGGCGACCGCGTCCACGTCAATTTCTTGAGCATTATCGATGAACTTGGTGATAACGACGGGGTGTAACGGGGAGACGCTTGCTGCAGCCGAAAGGTTGTATTCCAAATCGGATTCCTCAAACACGACATTCATTGCCGCACCAGAGAGAACATACGATGGACGAATAAGGACAGGATAACTTCAATGTGCCGTCAATTAGAAATGAGCACAATAAGGATCAATCTGATGCACCCACCTAACTCTTGAGGCGAACTCTTTGGCAGCTTCCAGGGAAGTTACTTCTGTCCACTCAGGCTGATCGACACCGACACTATCAAGAATTGACGAGAATTTATGCCGATCCTCCGCATTGTCAATCTGCTCAGGGTCTGTTCCGAGGACGCTGACGCCGTTGTGTTTCAAACGAAGCGCAATGTTCTGAGGCAGTTGACCTATAGACAGATGAGCGTGGTTTCAATATGTAAGAAACACGCAATGGAAGGTACAACTTACCACCAACGCTGACAATCACGCCCTGTGCCTGCTCCAATTCGTAGATATCCATAACCCGCTCGTAGCCAAGCTCCTCGAAGTACAGACGATCAGCCTCGTCGAAGTCAGTGGACACAGTTTCGGGGTTATAGTTGATCATGATAGTCCTCTTTCCCATCTCCCTCAGCTTGCGAGCGCATGTGACAGCGCACCAATCGAATTCGACGCTGCTCCCAATACGATACACACCACTGCCAAGGACCATGGTTCCGTGTTCGTCGAACTCGACATCATGTTCAGAGGCGTTGTAAGTGGTGTAGAGGTAATTGGTGTGTGCAGGGTATTCCGCAGCAAGAGTGTCAATGCGCTTGACGAAGGGAGTGATCCCGAAGGACTTGCGGTGGGTACGGACAGCATCCTCTGATGAGGATATAAGGTCTGCAATGTGCGAATCAGAAAAACCCATGCACTTGGCGCGCTTCATGAGCTCAGAATCCACTTTCTCCAAAGAACCGGCCGCCTTGAGGGCATAGACTGTTTGAACGATGTTATCGATCTTGTACAAGAACCACTGTTTATCAATCGAATCAGCAATGTTCTCTCGTATATATGCTTCTATAACTTGCCTTGTCAATTTTTGTTAAATCATGTAATTGATCAACAGT